GGGTGTGGCTGTGGGTGTGGCTGAGGGTGTGGATGTGTGTTGGGGTGGGTGTGCGTGCGGATGTGTGTCGTCACTTGAGCTACAGCCACACCCATAGCCACCCACATCCAACCACACCCACACCCACACTCAACCATACCTACACCCACACCCCGCAATAGAAATAGTGAGATGAGAGTCAATTTAGTTTGTTGACTTTCAAGAAAGATACAGAGAAGAATGTAAAACATATGACAAGAAACTAAACAAGAATAGCTTACTCTTTAGAAAAAAAAATCAACTACAACAAAAGAGTGATTGTTACTCTATAAGAGCATGTTACAAACTATCCTTGAAAATGAGTTGAATGAAATGGGTGTCAATGAATAGATGACACGTTGAACCCTAACGAAATTGATGAATCATTCTATTATGATGAAATGACTAGCATTTACGTATGCTAAAAATCAATTGTTTACGACGCAAAGTAATTCTGGGAACATTCTGTATTGCAAACAGTATTTTTCAGCATTCCCTTTACGAGTATAAGTTATGAAGATTTTTGTCAATTGTAAAAAAATTCAACACACTAGGTAAAAGTGCAGAGAAAAAATGTGAATTATTCTAATGTAACATGATTTTATGGATCTCTTTATGTTACTCATCCATGAACGTGAAGAAAGTGCTCACATGCTGAATTATATCTAGGACAAATTTTCTCTTCAATAAACATTGTAAAGACATTCAGTCACCAATTACGCAGCATTTTTCTTCGTTTGATCTTATCTTTCATAATGTTTTGTAAAGACGATAAAAATCTAAATATTTTCTTACAGCCTTAAATTCAACAAAACGAATACAAACAGTAAATATAGGTTTTATCTAAAGACTTCATCTAATCTTTATATAGACAATGCGTCGTTATAATATTTAAAGTTGCATTGAAAAACATTCGCTGAAAATGATCTTCAAACCAGAAATTGTCTTGATCTTCGCTTTTGTAATAATATTAATGGAATGTAAGCCTGATAATTGTCCAGATGATGAAACACTCGATTTAGAAAGTGATGGCTATCAGTACATTCATGGTGAATATCCATTAATTTCTACCTTATATCGAGAATGGTGGTTCTTTGCTTTATATGATCTATTAGTAGATATTGGGTTTTGTATAGGGTATGGTGTTTCAGATCCATCAAAAGCTTTTGGTTTAGAAAGTTCTGACATTGCTGTAATGCTTTGAACTTCAGTAGCAAATAATACTGGTCAAGATCCGATAAATATTCTAGATTCATATGGTTTTGAACAATTTTTGGCATATAAAGAAAATGCAACTGTCTCCATTGGTAACGGAAATATCATTAAGGTCTTAGATCAAGAAACGTATCAAGTTGTCGGTAGAAGTAGGAATGGCCAATTACGCTGGCAATTAATCTTTCAACAAAAGTCTTATGCTTGCAGACAAAAAGAAGAAATACCACAATTATTAGAACTAGATTGGATATCTTATATGCCAAGTGCTCGTGTTTCTGGATCAATCCAATATAATAATCAAAGTTTTTCAATTGATACTACTGCTTATCACGATCATAATTATGGAGCTTGGGCAACAAACCTGTTTAATTGGATTTGGGCACAATTTCATCGTATAGATGAAGAATTTTCATTAGTTTTCGGTAGTTATCATGTACCTACGACTGAAGGTACTTATATTGGATACGTATTTATTCGTTGGAGAGGTCAACGAATTAAAATTGGAACATTGTGTGGAGATCAATTCCATTTGAAACCATTAGAGTGGCAAATTGTTGATGGTAGAAAGTATTCTATTCATACCAAGGTTGAAGCATTTAGTCAGCGATACAAAGTCAATATCGAATACAAAGCAAGAGTGAGTAATGATAATCCAGGCGGTCGTGGTTTAGGATTAAAAGTTTTTGAATAAATTTCTCAATACCAAGTTACGTTATACGGTAAACACAAAGATACTTGGATAGTATTACAACAAAATCTAACTGGACATGGATTTAGTGAACGGAGTCATGCAGAAATATGAACTAAATTTCTTTTTATTAAAATATCACAAATAAAGAAATACTGATCATTTAATATCATGAGAATCGTCAAGAAAAACCTAATGGAATCATTTTATTTACGTTGATATTCAAAGAAAATGAATAAGCAAGAAAATTCAAAAGAAACTATCAATTATTCTAATAATATTCGATTAATTAATCATAATAAAAAAGAGTGATTTGAAGAGGAGAATCTATAAATTACTGCAATCATCTAGAAAATAATTCATTTGTTAGAGATTTCAGACCAAATTACATAAAACGATGCAAAAACGGCAGTCAATTGACAAAAGACTGCCATCAGGAAGATACTGATGGGTGCGCAGTGAAAACCTAAATCCACATTTACATCTACACATGCCTATACTCGGATCTTCACACACACACACACACAAACACACACATACTGAATTCAGAAGGTGGAGTTGGCTTCGTTCCTGAAAATTCGAGAACTCGTACCGATCAGAGATGTGCGGGGCATTGATTTTCCATCCTCCACGGGGCCCGCCCCGTAAAATTCATAAACCCGTCCCGTCCAAACCCCGTGGATATTCTTTTTGAGAATCCCCGCTCCGCCTGT